AGAGTCGCAGACTGCTTATAATTAGGGGTCTCTACCGCCGTGGCCACCGGTACCGGTTGCAACCGCGGTCGTAGGAAAGGTGTGAAATACGTACTTAACAGTTTCTTTTGTGATTCCATGAGTCTTTGTTTCAAATAGCTGTTTTTAAATCGAGTAGGTTACGAGCATTGTTGGCATGGAAATACTAAGCATATGGTAATATTATCGGCCCACATATTTTATTACCGTACTTATCCGGGTAAGAGCCCATGCCTGGACAAACGCCCAGCCCCCACTTTTGACACAATAAAGAAGTTGAGGTCATATCCGGGCACATGCCCAGGGGGTCTTTTTCTACACAAAACAAAAAAAAACTATTTTCTATTCGTTGACTTTCTTGAAGTCTGTCGTGATACTTATAAAAATTGTTAATTGCGTAAAACAAGGGGTGAACGCAAAATAGCTGTGACAGCTTTCTGCCTTCAGGGCAGCTCATTCACCGCTGATTTTTTTTCAGAATCATAACAGTCAGCAAGTCTATAAGAATAAATATTAAAGCACAAACGGTAGTTCTCTTTTTAGCTCCGCTGTCGACTTTGTCGAGCGGAGCTTATCATATGAGTGATTGTCCGTCGTCGTCCGTGTCAATGTTTTACTTTTTCGACTTCTTCTTGAAAACTACAAGCCTGAATGATTTGATACTTGGTGTATATGTACCTTGGGTAGATCTCTCTCAGATTTGTTCATTTCATGATGATATCTTCAATTCTCTAATTTTGGTGAATATTTTTGTAATTTTTAGTAAAAAGTGATATTTTCAACTTCTTGTTAAAAACCACAAGTCCAATTGCTTTGATATTACATATATAGGTACTACATGTGGACCTCTCTCAGATTTGTTCATTTTGTAATGATATCTTTAATTCTCTAATTTTGGTGAATATTTTTGTCATTTTTGGTAAAAAGTGATATTTTCGACTTCTTGTTGAAAACCACAAGTCCAATTGCTTTGATATTACATATATAGGTACTACATGTGGACCTCTCTCAGATTTAATCATTTCATAATGATATCTTTAATTCTCTAATTTTGGTGAATATTTTGGTAAAAAGTGATATTTTCGACTTCTTGTTGAAAACAGCAAGTCCGATTGCTTTGATATATTATACATATAGGTACTACATGTGGACCTCTCTCAGATTTGTTAATTTTCTAATGATATCTTCTGTTCTTTAATTGCCATGTGCATTTGCTAACAGCGGAGCTATCTCAGCCGACAGGCTGCTTGTTGAAATATGTCATGGCCCTAAAATGGGCTGGCCGTTTGGTTTGTGCTTCCTTAGAAACGATTCAAGCAAATCGTATAAGGAGAGCCGCTAAGCAAGCCCGAGTGTCGTACTCGTTCGGCTTTAGCGTCGTCGACAATGAAAACAATGTTGCAATATTGTAGCAACCCATACCTGGGAGAATGGTTGAAATCATGTTATTTTGGCTTTATAAATATTTTGTAGCAGCTTGCGAATCCATAACTGGGGCCAGCAATTTTGCAATGTCACGCCGAAGACTGCCAACTTTTTTACCATCTTTTATCACCGCTATTGCATTTCTGTCATGAAAACTATTCTTCTGTCGTTGGATAAAAAAAACACTTCCTATTTCAAGTCCACCGCGATATCCATATAGTGAGACATTCCAACCACCGAAACTTGCTGAATGATAACTGAATGATAAGCGTCGAATCTGATAAGAAAGCAATGTCACGATTTGACCTTTATGATGAAATACTAGTAGTGATGTCATTCTTAGCCAATCAGTAAAGCAGATGTATAAAGGTCAAAGATGATTGCTAGACTGTAAACAAAAGCATTGTGTGCCATCGCAGCAGAGCGACCCCATTTTTCTTGTCTCTTTATTATGATTAGACATCATCATGAAATGAAATGTGCCAAGCTGACAGACTGCGAAATCCGTGGATTAAAAGTGCTAAGTCCAAATTGTGTGGGACAATATCGACGAACTCCAGGAATAAGTTGTAGGGATTTTGTTCGACGGCTACAGTGACGCCGACTTGAACATTTGAGGCTTTTGAGTTTGATGAAGATGGCAATGAACGTACAAATAAAGATCTGAGAACTTTTTTCAAACGGCTACGAATTTTTATAATTTTTACTTTGTAAATTTGTAAATTATTATTGATCTCGTATGACGGTTGATTCGTAATTTGTCGAGACCGGAAATCTTTTTACGAAGTTTAACCCCTGACATTTTAATTCACACGTATTCGGCCTGTTTATCAGCGGGAAAATCCTAATTCAAATGATTCCTCACTGTCGATTTTTATTATTTCTGGTTTATTTGTCTTATTATAAACAATACATTGTTTTTGTTTTACTTCTAGTGTTGCATATTGTTCATTTATTTCCGTTGCATGTTTTCATTTGCCGTTCTATTCCCTGCCGCAGTTCGATCTGCGTGTTGTCAATTTTCGCGAATTTTTGTTTTTTTTTGCCGGGGATCTCCTGGCAAACGCCCACCCCTTCTTTTTGGCAATTTTCCATGTTCAGGACCCTGGGCTTATACCCGGATAAATACGGTAATATAAAAATCCAATGCTGTATACGAATTGTTGCTGCGTGAAACAATGTTGTATTTTATGCATGTATTTATCACCAATTCCAAGAGTAAAAGTCGTAACTTTCGAAGGTACGAGTATTATGACTCGTCCATACATTTCACTTACGTTTGTTACACTTGAATAAAGTCTACCACATGAAAAGAATGTTATTTACGAAGTTTTAAATAGCCGAGCCTTCCTGATTCGAGCCTCTTGTTGATTTGACAACGGTGGGTATCATTAATGTTTATTCTTTGCCAGTATCGCATTCCAGACAAAAAGTTCA